TCAGAAGTGCTATGGCGCTTAAGTAGTGAGAGGGCCATGCTCTTTGTTCCTCCATAAACCTCATCACCTAGCAGGGGGATGCCGAGGTACTTCGCATGTGCTCGAATCTGATTTTGGAAAAAACACTAATTTGAAGATAAGTATTAAGTTGAACCAAATTCACCTTCTGAAATGGTCGTCAAGATATGACATTTACCTCACACAGCCCGTAAACAACGGGTGTGGGCTACTAAACACAACCGTCAGTCCAAACCAGATTGGACAACTGAAGTGGTGGACAGTCCAAATTTACTCCCATATAGGGTGCCCAAACCATTGAGTTTGCAGATGCTTGTTTTCTAGACTTAAACCCTAAAACCCAATTGACATTTGATGTGTGATACTCAAAACACACCCCCAATTCCAATCACACCCAACAACGGAAGGGTGGACAAACAGGCCCAAACTGAACAGGTGCCCCAAACCGTTCTTGGACACCTCACATATCACTACAGGACTAAGGTTTAATACCATGTTAAATTGGGACTAACTCATCCCAAAGGGTACATAGGATATGAGACTTGACATTTATATACGAGACTCAAACCCAATAATTAGTAAGCTAGCTCCCTAAATAGATGTGTGTGTAATGCAACAAGAATCATTATCCCAATGAACTAATCTAGAAACTTTTTGTCAGTATAAGCCTTGAAGATGCTTAAACCAAGCGAAGAAAATAACCGTAAATTGCGAAAACTTAAGGCTCTGTTTGCAATCTCTATTGATAAGTGCTTTTGGCTTTTTTTTAAGAAAAAAACACTTATTTTACCAAACACTACCAACTTTTACTATCTCGGTTTTCGTGTAGAATATACTTTTTACTTTTTCTATTACACAAAAAACACTTATTTTACCAAACACTACCAACTTTTACTACTAATCACTTTTTCCCAAAAAAGTGCTTTTATTTAAGAATAAGTGGTTGCAAACAAAGCCTAAGACTGCTGAGATACAGGGAATTCACAACAAGAAACATTAACTCATTTATATGTAAAAGGATATACTAATAATTTACACCTGATGTGTGCGTCCAGTTTCTAACCTCCATTCAAGCAAAGCAGAACCACCACAAGCAAGTATTTCAATCACTTTGTATCTGAAAGTTATCAATTATTTTGTATACATCTATAGCACAAATGACATGCGTAACAAAGAAAAAGGGGATATGGGGCTGGGGTCACCTTACATCTTTCATTTCTGACTTAATGGGTCTGTTTAGCAACTGCAAAATGCTAGGGAAAGATAATACTCCCTCCGTCCCACTGGACTTTGCCAACTTTCCTTTTTTTGTTTGTCACAAAAAAATTTGCCACTTTCCTTTTAAAGCAATGAATTTGTGGCCATTTTCATTTCTTTCTCCTCAACACAAACTTCAACTACATAGTTTTTATTATTATAATTTCACACCTAACATAAAGTTGGCAAAGTTGAGTGGCAAAGAGGTAGTAAGACGGGAAAAAAAGAAATTTGAAAGGAAAGAAAATTAGGATGAAAGTAGAAACTTGGTTCAAATTCAATACACCAATTTCAGCTATTTGTTTGAACTTTGTTATTTATATTATACACGCAGAGAAATCTAAAAATATAAACGTTTAAACTTTAAAGGTTAATCATATGTTCTATTCCTTCATATTTTCCAAATTAAAAAAAAAACATAAAAATTCCTTTTCCATATCATTTTATACCTTTCTCTACCATTTTCCAGGGTGCAAATATGGCATACGCATGTTTTCTTTTGTGAAAATTTAAATGTTGAAAATACAGAAGCATTAGTAACTCTAGATTTAGAAACTCTAGGTTTCCTATTTCTGTTCAGTTTGGACCCATTATTTCTTTATATAGGAACTGTAATATCCTTTAGAAAAAATATAGTTGAATGTTATGAGTTTTATTATATCAACGAAATCAGTTTGTCATATGGAATCTTAGACTCGTCCTTCTCTGAGGCGCATAAGAAGAATGACTTTTTCACCTGCTAGCAGCATGACGAGTTTTGCTCAAACCATGGCCAGCAGCCATACGAAGTCTGTTGTATGGATCACGGCCTATTGGGATATCACAGCGTCCCAAAGCAGATGTTGGCACTCCACAAGTTAGAGCAACATAGACTCTCTTAATGCTATGATTCTTGAACTGCTCTGCCAGATGGGCGTGGGAATGCTCGTCCTGAAAGTTCTGAATATCAAATGCCACTCAAACTAAAAAAAATGTTTACACCATCTAGGGGTGTCCACTGGTCAGTTTTGGTAGGTTTCAATTTTATCGGTTCTGGTCAATTTTCAAAGTCTGAACCTTAACCCTGTGTTTAGGAAGAAAGAAAATAAGGAAGAAAATTATGGAGAAAAAGACACTTTACTTTGTTTGGGAAGAAAGAGAATATACTCCGTATAAAGAAACGGAAATAAGCCTTATTTTTCATCCTCTTTTTTCACTCCGAATGGAAGGAAAGTTCACTATTCATTACAAAAGTTAGATCATTATCCTACTTACACTTTTAAATCGATTATGTGTATGCTATGAAGGTTACATCATAACTTTCTAATGTTATCACTTTATTTCCTCCTAAAATCAAATCAATCATTCTAATACAAGTATACAACACCACCACCATTCAAACCTTAGCCCCAAAAGAGTTTGGGGTTGGCTAACATGAATCAACATATGACATTGGAGCTCAAAAGGATTTTAAAAAAAGATAAGAAAAAATATAAGAAAGATAAAAAGATAAGATAGGATAAAAAGGATAAAAAGATAAGAAACATAAGATAAAGATATTTGTGATAAAAAAAAGGATGAAAAAAATAAGACGAAAAAGATAAAAACATAAGAAATATAAAAAATGAAAAGAAATCAATCACTCAACAAACAACAACATAGCAACATTGTCAATCAGTAACCAAAGCACTAACACAAACATACAATGGGGAGATGGATTGAATTACCAAATATTCACTTTTCCTTACCCTACCGTAGGTGGGAGCCTTTGCGGCACTGGGGTAATGAAGAAGAAGAAGACCAAATATTCACCTTTGCTACAACAAGTAATCCACTTGTTCCCTTGTCCAATCTGTGCACTATTCCTGGGCGAATAGATGACTCTCCCATGGCAGAACAATCATCCCCAACATAATCTTTCTCGGCAGAAAAGGCACTCAACTCATCATCAGAAAGTCCTTCCTGAATGGGGAATGGCCCTATGGGAAGGCTACAATGATGAAGAATTCCATTTACAAGTGTCCCAGTAGCATTGCCGGGTGCTGGATGAACAACCTTGTGTCATGCATGCAGCGAAAGTAGTACGCCAAATTAGTAACTATAACAAATATCTGGTACAGAATTTGACTGAAGCTTATTACTGATTCAGTATTTCAGGTTCACTATAAAAAGTATTTCGAAATTTAGTCGGATTTATTTTTAAGATTATTTTTGGAATTCTTTCCTTTTGTTTCTTTGTGTTGGAATCTATGTTTGTCTTCACAAACTCAATATAAGCAACACAGAAACTTCAAAATGAAACATTACCCACAGAAACTTGAGTGCTAACTCTGTCCTCCCAAAAGAAGCGTCACGTTTGACCAGGGTACAACCTTTGATTTGGTCAGGGTGCAAGTTCCATAATGAATGACGAGTCCTGCTTATACTTTTTAACATTTATTTCTTGACTTAACAAAATTTATGCTATGTGGCTTATGTTGTACTCTTGTTTTGTCAAAATTGATGAAAGATGATTTGGTTTGATCAAATATAACTTTTTTTTGGATGAAAAAGAGGAGTTTGAGACAAAACTCACCATTTGTGCAGGCTTGTTAATAACAAGGACATGATCATCTTCATAAACAATGTCCAGTGGGATATCTTCTGCTTCTGCCCTCAATGGCTGCAATTCAGCAATAGTACAACAAACTTTATCCCCGCTTTTAACAGCATGTGAAACCTACACACATCAAAATCCTTCAAAAGTTTGACAAATCTGAAATGAATCCACACTGCCAAGAGGAACAAACCAAAGGTAATAGAACTAACATTCTTTAAATCACACCAAAAATAATTTTTTTATAGTTTGGTGAAATTAAAATCAGCCAGCTTTATCATAACTATTCTCAGAAACGCTTCAGGATATCAAAATAAAAACAACAAACAACAACCTTATCGACTATACGTCCATTAACAGAGACGAGCCGAGACCGAATGCTGGACTGAACTCGAGCTCTGCTGACCCCATCAATGCGGGAAGATATCCAAGAATCGAGCCTGAGCTTCCCAGAATTTGTTTTTACGGATTCCTCTAGTGTAATGCCGGAGTAGTTATTGAGCGGGTGGTCATAAATTGGTTCGGGCCTGCTGCTAGAAGCCGTTGAATTTGAGAGAGCCCTGAAAATGAGGTTCGAAACTTTGCGAACACTAGCAGCAGGTCCATGGTTTTGAGCAAGAAGAGGAGAAAGTGAATTTGAATTGGTCGCCAGCATCATCTCCACGCTCGCCTCATTCCTTAAAGTTCTGCTGCTTCTGCATACCAATACCGGCCAGGAGGAAGTCACAAATTTGGGATTTCTCTCACCTGAATATGGAGGCTATCTAATCCTGTCTCCTTCGTTAAAGTTCTTAAATTTTACCTATTCTACTTTGACTACATTTTATTTATTTATTTTTATGAAAAAATATTGTTAAATTTGTCTTATTGTAAATTTTAAATATCTATTTTTTTTTTAATTTTTTTACTAATATAAATTTATATATATTAATGGTCAAAGTTATGTCTCGGCAAGTGTGAAATGTTGACCGTTGCATTTATTTAAGAACGGAGGAAGTATCAGAGGATTGTACGATTTAGAGAGCCCTTTTTTGGACAATTTGGAGAGCCCTTTTGTTAACAGTTTTTTTTAATCTTTCATAGAAACATTTATGAGAAAATTATCAAATAAGCTCTGTACTATATCAGAAAACTCAATTAAACTCCTGTATTTTGAAAACACCAAATTAAACTCTCGAACTTCTAAAAAACGTTCAATGAAGCGTTTTAGCCGGTTAAGAATCGATTTCCCGGTTGCCTCCTGGCAGGCCACGTGGCAGTTATTTTCTTTATTTTTCCTTATTTTTCTTCTTTTGGTTTTCTTTCTTTTTTCCCTTTCCTTTTCTTTTCTGGTTTTGCGTCGATCCTCATTTTCATCTTCCAAGGGATCTTACTTTCCATCGTCACTTCTCTTTCTCTTTCTTTTTCGTTTTTTCTTTCTTGATTTCTTTCTCTATATGTTTCTTTTTTCCATTTGCAAAGGAGGAGAGAGGATGTCTTCGCATGAGAGAGAATGTTGTCGCCGAATTTGCTGCCGGATTTTGCCAGAGATTATGGCAAGAATAGTCGCGTTTGTTCTGAACCTTCTATTCGGCGGAAGAAGCCGCCTGAGCTTATGACAAAGCCGCCAAGGAGTTCTGAGGAACCAAGTATATTTTTTTCGATACCGGGAGATCTCAAATTGAGATTCTCAATTTGCAGTTCGATTTGAGCCTAAAACAACAGGGGTGAATGGCCTCAGTCTGGACCAGCTCCATTGAGTACTCTTCCTGTTCACATAGAGGATGTCGGTGAGTGCGCGCCATCTTGGAGTGGCGGAGCGATGCATCGGGTTGGAGCAGTGGGGCGGTGGAGCTGTGCGTCGTCTTAGAGGCAGAGCAGCAGACCTTTTCCATTTGATGAAGTCCTTCCATTCTATCTCATGAAGTGGTTCGTAAGTGCACTAAGGCTTTAGGTTTAAAATTTTAGATATTCATTCTGTAAGGGTTAATAAAGGACCGGACATGGAAAATAGATTTCGGAATTTTAAAAATGACCCCATATCACGATTGATTTTTCAAAAATTACGAGTTTTACCTCGTTTCTCTATTCCATAGCGAGTTAGCTTATAACCGTTACAGATAAACTTTTACATTTTATAATTTTGACCCCATCGTCCAAAATACTTTTTCATTATTTATGAATTTGACCCCGTGTTAACATATCATAACAGTTCAACATTAACTGATGTTAAATGTCTGTTATAGAATGCATATTTTGTACTAGTGAGTTGTCGTCCCTTTGCGAAGTTCGCCGGAGGTCCCAACAAGAAGAGCCGTGTTTGTTCAGGACCTTGGATATGAGGGAGGAAGCCACCTGAGTAAACAATAAATAGAAAATGAAGAAGGGGAAGTCGTGGGAACTGGGAAGATGGAGAACGATGGGTAAGTAAGTCTGGGAAGAGGAGAACCAGAAATAGGAAAGAGAAATAGAAAATGAAATAGAAAAGAAAAAGGAGAAAAATAAAGAAAAAAAAATATAATCACCATGTGGCCTGCCACGTGAGCAGTCAACTGGGAAACCGGTTGTTAACCTATTAAAAACACTCAATTGAACGTTTTTTAAAAGTTCGAGGGTTGTTTTAATAACATTTCTATTACTTTTATTAGGCGGTCTGCAAATCGTGTTGCTCATGAGCTTGCTCGAGCAGCCGTTTTTTTGTCTGACTGTCAAGTGATCTGGTTGTCAAATCCTAGTTTAGCAGTATGCCTTCATTCGGAGCTTTTCAGGATATGTCTTTTAACCCGTTTCAGACACCCGGAGGCAGCCACAGAGGCAGCCGCGGAGGCCAAAGCAGAGGCAGCCGCGGAGGCAACCCAGGAGGCAACCGACTCGAAGACGAAGAGACCGAAGACGATTATATCATAAATTATGATGAATCTAAATATTATCATAATGGACGAAGGAGTATGTAATAATACATTTTTAATTTAAATTGAACATTGGTTATATCATAATTCTAGTCTGTTTATTACTTTTATTAAATGTTTATGATAGTATGTTTAATACTTTTATTCCATTCTGATAGATTCCAGTATATTTAATTGTTATAATTCTTCAACAATTTTTTTAAAGATTATTTAAAATATAATTAAAAATAATAATTTTTTTTTAAAATAAAAAAGTTTAGTCACAGATCCGGTCCGTGAAAAATATTTTGTCCGGATTTCTCAAATATTTTTTTTAAAAATTAAAAAAAAATTAATTTGAAACTTTAATCACAGAATGTCCGTGACTAATCGAAAATTTTGAAAATTTGAAACGAAAATTTGAAAATCTGAATTTTTGAAATTTGAAAAATTTGAAAGTTTACCCTAATAAGTGGGATCTTAAAAATATAAATAAACGTTAGTCACGGACATGTCCGTGACTAATTTGGCGGATTTAAAAAATTAAATAAAATGTAGTCACGGATTTATCCGTGACTAAAGTACCGGAATAGCAACTCCGGTCACGAATTAGTCACGGATAGTAGCCGTGACTAATCCGTTACTAAGATTAGTCATGGATAAAAGGCCGTGACTAAAGTTAGTCACGCCCGTTTAGTCACGGATTCGGTCTGTGACTACATCCGTGACTAAAAAGGTTAGTCACGGATTTTTAACACTACATCCTCCCTTTTTGTCACGAGTTCATAAAAGAGAATTGTACATTTTCATGTGTATACGAACTCTACTTCACTATACTACGTATTAGCTAGTGTTGGTATTGAATTTATTTTGAAACACATAACGATTTTGATGTCGTCAAATATACGTCAATTGGATGTCAAAATGCTTTTCTCCATGGTCACCTCATTGAGCAATTCAGTTTATATGCATCAACCTCCGGGATTTATTCATCCACAATTTTCTAACCAATTTTTCGTCTGAGAAAAGCTATATACGGTCTCAAACAAGCGCAATGCGCCTAGTTCTATCATTTTATCAGTTTAATCGAGGTGAGCAATTCAATTCACAATTTGGATTTTATCGGTTTAAGCTAGTTCAATTTGGGAGATATTACCAAACTAAAATCATTTTTGTACATTTCAATTTGATTTCAGATCAGTTGGGGAGTGATGCAGTTCAATTTGATTTCTAGTTCGAGTGAAACTGTTTTGGCTCATTTTAGTTCAACCTAACTTGATACGATTTCATATGTAAATTTGCTTATTTCATCCATAGAGATAATCATCTCATCAGGCCGGCCTGACGGGCTGCCCCGTCCGACCGAGCCCGTTTGGGCACCTTCCCGGTGGAATTTTTTGATGAAATTTTTTGAGCATGTTCCTCATCAAGTCTTGTTTGTCCATACCAAATTTCAGCTCAAAATTCGATCGGGAAGGTCGTCAAATGAGTTTTGCAAGTTAACTGGTCCGGAATATGTATTTTCCGGACCAGTTAACTTGCAAAAATCATTTGACGACCTTCCCGATCGAATTTTGAGCTGAAATTTGGTATGGACAAACTAGACTTGATGAGGAACATGCTCAAAAAATTTCATCAAAATATTCCACCGGGAAGGTGCCCAAACGGGCTCGGCCGGACGGGGCAGCCCGTCAGGCCGGCCTGATGAGAAGAGCTCTCTTCATCCATATATCTAAGTTCTTATATATAGGTTAGGTGTTCGACTGTTCGCTCCACTATTTTTGAGCTAGAATTCCAATTTTGGTCAAACCGATTCTGGTCTGGTCTTGGACCGGTTCTCAACCCTAAAGGACTCATGTCGGAGTTGCTTCCGGGTGTCGGAATCTTCCAAAGATTTCTTGATCTGATCCGTTGCCCGGCCCCATTAGTTCTGCTTTCAGTCTCCGGAAACCACCGGCACAAAAAAAACTTTGAATGCATCTACCGCCATTTTGATACTGTTGCTGCCGGCTGCCGCCACCACCATCGGACTGTGGGCCACCAATGGACTGACCCGATTATCCAGGGGGGTTCGAGGGGAATTAATAAATTAGATTAGGGGTATTAGGAATAGAAAATTATGGAGTAATATTTAATCCTATATAGAGAAGATTAGATATTCACAACTATCTAAAAAGGATTGTTGTGTTTGACTCCTATTAAGGACAAAATCCTAGCTACGTACGTATTTCGGAATATATTTTTTCCTGAAATCCATCAGAAGCCTCCCAAGCCTTAATTCATGAGTAGAGTTATTTCTTCCATTAACTTTCTAGAAAGTCTAGTCTGTGAAAACTTGGAATGGAAGGAAAAGTTACTAATTGGATTACAAGATTGAAGATTCAATTCTAAGCACCGACCTCAAACAAAAATAAATGGGATAAATACCGTAAGATGACCAAAAGTAATCAAGTTTCCTAGAATATGATCAAGAGTTGTTTTTGGTCGTGCGTATGACTAAAAAGAAATTAAGAATGGTTGAAAATGACTCCATTGATGGACAAAAATACCCTCCTAAATAAATGTGCTTCTTCCCTGCGGACTGCGGTATCGGTGAAAGCGGGCAGCGGGAAAGGAAAGGTCGATCATTGCTGCAGTTGAAGGAAAATAGTGCTCCGTATTTTGCAACGCGAAATTGTAGGGTGTGACCTATTATGCATTTAGTATAATTGGTTTTATTATTGTGATATGATTTATGATTTTCTAATGTCAACCCATGTACCATACCTAATCAAGGCTGCGTGTTATTCCCTCACAAACAGAGTTGAATGGCTACATTATTTTTGTTCAATTAAAAATACTTTATACTGCAGTTACTGCATGACATTATTGCACTTTCGGTAAATATCACCGCACTTCCGCCAACATTAGTTCTCTTCTCATTCACTTAGAAATTTATTTATAGTTTTTATTTTTATTTTTTTAGATTTAATAATTTCAATATTTTACGTCTAATTAATTATATTGCATATAATGCGGGTGATATTGCTCTACATTAATGCACTACTTTTCATAATCATTGCACTTTCCGCAAATGCCATGGCACGATCTATTGCATCCGATTCACTGCACAACACATTTCGTCAATGCATTCCTTCATTGCCTATGTTTACTGCCCATGTTTAATGCCCACAAACCCTAATTTCAATAAAACATAATTTCAAAAATAGAAAAGAAGAAGAAGAAGATGAATGAGAATGGAGGAGATGGCTGGGCGGCGGCAAGATTGGGACGGAGGTGCGCCGCTAGGCGGCGGATGTAGGTCGGCGTAGGGACGGAGGAACGCGGCTGGGCGGCGGCACGCAAGGATCGGGATGGCGGCGGCGCACATGGATTGGGATGCCAGATTCCATGTCTAGGGATGGCGGCGGAGCCCATAGATCGGGACAGTAGTGGCACACATGTCTAGAGACGGCAGCGGGGCAAAAGTGTGGCTGGGCGGCGGCGGCGGCGGCGAGCAAGCGCGCGGCAGGAGTGCAGGACGATGGGGTGGGCAAGCATGCGGCTGGATGGTGGTGGCACGACTGGACGATGACGGTTGGACGACGGTGGCACGACTAGAAGATCGCAACAGACAAGCTTCTTCTGGGTCTACCATTCTACTTATGATCGCATGTTTTGATCAATTGTTAGGGATGAGTGGTGGAGTATTAAAAATACGGAGCAATACATAGTAACTATATGGAAGTACATTTTTTGTTTTCAAACGTGGTATTCAATTAAAGGGTAAATGTGGAACTAAAAATAGACATGATATGTCTGATCGTGCGGATACGTGAAAGAAGTCATCATATTAGGAAAAAACATGTGAGTCATAGATTGAGAAAGATGTCATCTTTTAGTCATAGAGATATTACTCAAAATGGGACTAAAAAAGTTTGAAAATTCCAAAATGGGACTTCCATGTTTTTATTCCCAAAATAGGATTAATTACTGCCATGTTTTGGCAGTACCAGACTTCAAACATGGTAGTGTTTTCTAAATTTGGCAGTAATTAGTCCTATTTTGGGAATAAAAACATGACATTTCTATTTTGGAATTTTTGAACTTTTTTAGTCCCATATCGGGAACTTTCCCTTAGTCATATGAGGGGTAATAATCTCAAAATAAATAACCGCAGTCCCATTCCCATATTTATTATTATTAGATTAAAAAGTAAAAAACAAAACCCTACCTACGTAGATACGATAGTATATTTTTTCCTGAAATCCGCCGCCCCAAGCCCTAATTCATCGGTAGAGTTATTTCTTTTATCAATTATGGAAGGTCTAGTCCCCGAAAACTTAGAATGGAAAGGAAAGTTACCCATTGGATATAGGTTTCGTCCTACTGAGAAAACAATTCTCAAGGATTACCTTTTCCCTAAGGTTAACGGTCTCGGTTTGTGGCAAGGCATCATTCACGAGGCTGACGTTTACCGGGAGCAGCCGTGTGATCTTCTTCTTCAATACCTGGTGGACACCGGAGAGACGTACACCTACTTCTTTACAGAGAGAGAGCAAAAAGGTACAAGAACGGGTCAAGACCTAACCATTGTACTCAGGATGGGGAGGGTGTGTGGAAGATTACAAATAAAGTAGCGCAGGTCAAAGATGGGTCAACGGTGATCGGGAAAAAGAACGTTCTTGTTTTCAGTCTTCATGAGAATAAGGCGAAGACGAACTGGATCATGAGAATAAGGCGAAGACGAACTGGATCATGCATGAGTATTTTTTAGACGAGAAGTACGTGAATAATATAATGTAGTCAACGATGTAGTGTTGTGTAGGATTCACGAAAGAAATTCAAAGAAACGAGGTCTTGAAATTGGTGAATCATCAAGATGTTATGGAGCGGGCAATAATGATCAGATGATGAATTGGGTACAAGGCTTACATATGTTGATTTGCAGCCGCCGCCATTACATAATATGCCCGCCGCCGCCCCCTTTTGTCAGTTTCACGATGAATTCCAGAGTTCGGTTACCAATCATAATATGGAGGCAGGGTTAGAGAACGTGAAGA